TTGCCAAAAAAAAAAAAAAAAAAATGGAAGTCGTCGATTCCGGCAACGGAAAGAAGCCACGAACACCACACTTAAGCTTCTCCCATGCGTGGTGAATATCGCTGTGGGCGTACTTACTGTTCTTCTTGTACAGCAGGATCTCGAATTGATCGTGAATCTGGCCCTCGAGGCATTCCTCGATCCTGGCGATCGTCTCTTTGTCCGTCAACTCCCCGTACATGAATCCGCAGCGGCAGGACTTTTGCATAACCTGACGGTGTTGGATAAAATTCATCCGTATTATTATACAGCCACGACGACCCCTCGCCTCTCGCGAAACAGTCGCGAAACTTTCATTTTACAACGGTGCCTCTCGTTTGGAATTTCGCCAGGGGTAAAGGGGTAAGGGCCGACGTTGCTTCTTATTACCCTCGTTTCTATCGTATCCTCGGCGTATATATCGTTTCGTAGATAAGAAAGAAAAAAAAACAAAAAGAAGAAAAAATTAACGTCTTTTCGCGAACAGACGAGGGGAGGGAGAATGTCGGGTCGTCAGGCGAATGAAAGTTTCGAAACTCTGAATTTTCCGTGTCTTTCAGTTGTGTATAGGTGTTCACTCATTTTCACTCCAAATTATTATATTACGTTCTCGGAGATCGTGGATCTCACCATTTTGCGAGATAAGTCAAGTTCACCCTTCGCACAGGATCAAATTCATCCTTTTGCGAGCCATGGGTTCACATCATGTGAATGAATTCAAAAGTGAAGTAATACATTTTCTTGTTTCTATCACATGTGTACTATATATGTGTGTGTATATATATATATAATATATATATATATTATTTAATTAATATTTAATAATAATAAAATTGTATGTATATCACAATAATATATTGCAGTATAAATATATAATAATTTCTATATATATATTAATTTTATTATATATTTATATGTATATATATTAATTTATTATATATATATAAATTATTATGTATTTATACTATAATATATTTTATTATGATATATATAAATTTTGTGTGTTATAATGTTTCCCATTACATTTATATAAATAAATATATTTATGTAAAATATAAATATAAATTTATATATGTTAATTAATTTTCTCATTTTAAAATATTTATTTTTTGTAGAATATTTTATTAGTATATATATATATTAAAAAAATAAATATTTTAATATGATATTTTCATATAAATATAAATATTTTAATATGAGAAAATTAATTAACATATATAAATTTATATTATTTACATAAATATATTTATTTATATAAATGTAATGGGAAACATTATAACACACAAAATTTGTCATAATAAAAATTTATATCGTAATAGAATATATTATAGTATAAATATATAATAATTTATACATATATAATAAATTATTATAATAAAATTAATATATATATATAAATTATTATTATATTTATACTGCAATATATTTTATTATGATATACATATAATTTTATTATTATTAAATATTATTATATATAGCGAATTATGGACATAACCTACAAAAGGATTAATTTGAAATGAAAAATCTGTATTTTATTTGTATATTTACTTGTTAAGGAAATATTCTGTTTAGCGGAGAATTGTCCTCTTGCACGCAAGAAAATACATGATCCAAGGACCATAACTAGACTGTAGATGTTCATGCGAATTCATATAATTGAAACCAATTGATCTTAACACTTTCAAGGAACAGAAACTTCAATTTCATCTCTAAATTCGCTTTACGATCGTTGTATTTTAAAAAAAAAAAAAAAAAAAAGAAAAAAAAGAAAAAAAACAAGTGCCAGAAACCAGTTTTTCATTTGGTTCTCATTTGGGTAATAGAAGTTCTATATAGGGTGAACGATAAATTCGGTTCGTTGTGCTTCTGGTTATCGAATAAATCTAGCGTAACCTGGTGAGTTTAATTAGGGAAAAAGAAAGGAAGAGGGAAAGAAGCACTGAAAAATCGGCAAATTAAGCCGAAACCGACGACTCGCTGTGAGATCATATATATATACATGGTTATTACATCGCGTAGCGTTATCGCGAAATTAGATTGAAACCGGTGTCGGTCAAGTGCGACGCACCTGTGCAACGTACAATTCTGTTAAACCGATTAAATCCACGCGAAACGACGAGGATAATCCGATTATCCGACGTAATTTTCGCGAATGAAATTACCGTCCGCGAAAAATCACGGATCAACAGCCGAATTAGCGCGTTGTGCCGTCGGGAAAGAAAGGTGGCTCTGATGTACAGACGTTTGTAAAAATTTGGACAAAAGTGAGGTTATTTTATTCAAACTAATTGTAATTGAGTAATTTGTCTTATAGCTTATTGGTTTAAATTAAAGAATTCCAAATATTTAAAAACTTACTTGTTCCTTTTGTGCATTCGGTTAATTTAAAAATCGGCTTTTTTTTTTGAAATTATTTTCCAATTTATAGAGTTGAGCGTGCGAGTCATTTGAATGCGACGACACAACTGTCTGACGCGCATGCGTGCTGATACGCGCGTGTATCCAATGCGCATGCGTGCTGGTACGCGCGTGTGTCTGACGCGCATGCGCTCGCTTATAGAAAATTTATAAACTCGCTTCAAGTATTGAATCTTTCTAGAACTGACGCGAATTGTGAATTCTTTGTATCTTCTTCGATTTTAAAACTTTTAATTCTCGAATTTTTGCCAATCCCGAATTTTTTAAGTCCGGTATTTTTGGGATCTCGAATCTCCCGAAAATTGGAGCTTTGCAAATTTGAAGTTCCCGAAATACTGAGTCTTTCGGAGCTGAAACTTTGATTCGTCGAGCGAAATATCGATGCTTTCACGCAAATATCGATATTTTCGATACCTACGTTCTGGATTATATAGCATACTGACTCAATTATTGGTCATAACCAACAAATGTATCACAGAATGTTCAATTTTTTTTTTTATGTTTCAATTTATTTACTTTGGATTCAAAAATAAAAAAAAAAAAAAAAAAAAAGAACGACACTTTGCAAAATAACGAGCACCGTTATGTGCCACGAGCGTGCGCACGCACAAAGCTTTGGCGCACCGCGTGGAAATTACGGAACGAAATATTCCATTGTACGACTTTCCTTTATCGAAATTCGATGGGCTGGATTATTGTAGGTCGGTCGGTCGGTGAAGCAAGTTGGAAATAGGAGAAAGGGGTAAATTGAAAAGGTAAATCTGACCACAAAGCCCGTTCGCCGTGGAGCGGAACGGACTTGCGAAAGCGGAGAACAGGCTATTTACCTCGGCACGATTATAGCCAGAGATTTTGCAAAAGCTTTCGTTGCAATAGACAATAGGGAAGTCGACGATCTGAGCGTTCGCCAGGAGAAAACTGCTGTCAGCTGTGAACAGAAAGAAACAACAAACGCAAAGATTAGTTCGTGTTGCTCTGTTATATTTCCCTTAATCGAGTAACATGTTGTTTAAGAGAGGTTCTTTTTTTCCTCATCATATATTAGAGGTTAGGTTAATATGTAACCTAACCAAATTTGTGTGATCTCTCATTTCAATGAAAGGGAGATTGTAAAAGTAAGTTTAAATTCAGTTCTTTATTGTTGATTGAAAAGAGGTTAGATTAATACACAACCTAATTAAATTTAGGTTAGGTCAGTACATAACCTAACCAAATTTACGTGGTCTCTCATTTCAATGAAAGGGAGATTGCAAAAATATGTTTAAATTCAGTTCTTTATTGTTGATTGAAAAGAGATTAGATTAATACACAACCTAACTAAATTTAGGTTAGGTCAGTACATAACCTAACTAAATTTACGTGGTTTCTCATTTCAATGAAAGGGAGATTGCAAAAGTAATATTAAATTCTTCAGTTCTTTATTGTTAATTGAAAATAGGTTAGCTTAATACGTAACCTAACCAAATTCATGTGATCTTTATTTCCCAATGAAAGGGAAACTGTAAAAGTAATTTTCTTTACTATCGATGATATTAAATGTATATCACATTAATCAGTATATCAGCGTGATATTAAATTAAATTCTACATTAATAAAATGTATTGCAGGCATCAGAAAAAAGAGATTAGGATTGCATTTCTTTCTCCTTAGGTTTAAAATCATCCCTTCGGTAGATTGAAATTTCTTAATGAAAAAGAAGAGAAGTTACAAAGGGGAATTTGAGGGGGATAAAAAAGAATTAATTGTATCGAGAAAGAGGTTAGGATTAGATTTTTCTCCTCTCTCGCATTAAAAGTTATTCCCTGCGTAGATTGAAATTATAATTACTAAATGTTAATTAAAAAATTAATTAATTATTAACGAAAACAACAAATTACTATTAACAAGTTAACAAATATGGAAATTATCTGAAACGTGTTTCTAGAAGGGGGGGCAACGTCGAGTCTTCTGTTTATTAGGTTATTAAAATAACGTGTATTAGCGACGTTAATAACGCGTATTTATTTTTTGTACGCAACGAGGCTACGAATAATGATAACGACGACGATTTTCCGCATAGCTGGCGCCCATTTTCCGTGGAAAATCCCAACCTCTTGAGCCCTCTCGCCTGGTCAGGTTTCCTCATCCACTTATTCGTTCGCGGCACACGTAGCGCATTAACGAGCTTTATATACCTTTATTCGAGTCGCGTCAGCCGGTGAAAAATCGTGGAAATTCTCGATCCAATTCACATACCCGCAGAGCTCCATTGAAATTTTCCCACCGACACGACGGCGCGGAGCTACTCGCAAATTTGCCAGATATTTACTGCAAAACGTGTATTTTTTCGCGGAGAAAAAAAAAATGGGAAAAAAATTAATACGTGGCTCGTCATAACCGTGCCGCAATCGTCGAATCCTCGTACTAGGTAAGAACTTCGCATCGATAGCCGATTAAGGTGAACTTTTGAACTTGAACACCTATTTTTACACGTGAAAACGTGTTACTGTTATAACGATGAAAAATTTTCAGCTTTGCAAAATCCACTTGGGCTCGTTCTAGAGCGTGAAGTGTTTCAGTCACGAGTCGGAGTTCTTTATTTTTTTTTTTTCAAAAGACATGATTCTCCACTCCGTGCAGCAGTTTTTTTTTTTTTTTTTCTCGTTGAAAATTCAAGTTCAAGGAAATTTTCTTGTACTTTAAAAACTGCGGTTAGATGACTTTAAGTGACTTCAGATTTTTACGGAATTATAACAGCTTCGATAATTATCGCCCGAGCATTCGTTTCGACAAATATGTAAAGGGATACTTTGACATTAATTCTGTCAAAAATCGTATTGAACGACGAGAGAAGACGCGGACAGTATTCTCGTGTTCACACTGTTCTCGCCTTTCGTACAATAAATTTTGTAAAGTTAAACCAACAACATCTCCAGGATTAATAATCTCTTCGACATACACAGGTTACATTTGTCTCGAAACAGAGACACTTGCTCTGTATGTATGTAGCTTTAAATGATGTACAGGGCGTTTCATTTTAGCGTGATCCCCAAATATTATTTCTAAAAATATTAATGTATTATTATATATAATATTAATAAAAAAAAATTAATAAATTAATAAATAATATATATTATTATATATAATATTAATAAATTAATAAATAATATATAATATTATTATATATAATATTAATAAAAAAAATTAATAAATTAATAAAATATAATAAATAATATATAATATTATATATAATATTAATATATAATACTAATAACAAGATGTTCTTTCCACTAATAAGAAAATTCTAAAATGTTCAAATTCGTTTTTTCAAAACAGTTTCCAAAAAGAAAAAAAATGACGTTGCTATTAAAAAAAAAAAACATCGTTTTTTGAAGAAGAAAATAGGTTAGAAACCTCCGTAGGATCGTTTATTACGTTCGTCCAAATTCGTACGCGGTGCACGCGCGTGTGTGTGTTGTGTGTGTTTGTGTCGGTTGTTAAATTCCCAGTAAGCCGCCGGTTACACGCGTTGACGGTGTTTTATCGTCGACAGGCAAATATTTCCTTCCGAGCTCATGGGGGCGGGAGGCCAAACGAGCAATAAGCCCCGATAAGATTGGACATTCACGCGTCTCTCTCCAACAGGCTGATTTACGCGCCGGTTAAACTACTTTCAAGAATCATACTCACGGGGCTTCTGATGGCTGAAGCTCGGTTTACGCTGATCAACCGCGAAGCCCCTGCGATTCATACGCACGTTCTCGTCCTTCTCGCGCGGGAAAATTGCCGAACAGCGTCGATATCATCGAGGCTTTCTTCCTTTTTTTCGTCTTCTGTTTTTTTTCTTTCTTTTTTTTCTTTGTAAATCGACCTGACGCGTCGTATTTTTTTTATATATTTTTGTTATTTTTATTTTATTTTATCTTTAGTATTTAGTTCATATTTTTGATACTTTATTATATTTTATTATATTTTTGTTACTTTATTATTGTTATTTTATTTTACTTTAGTATTTAGTTTATATTTTTGATATTTTGTTATATTTTATTACATTTTTGTTATTTTATTTTATTTTAGTATTTAGTTTATACTTTTGATATTTCATTATTATCTTATTTTATTTTATTATTATATTTTTGTTACTTTATTTTATTTTATTATTATATTTTTGATAGTTTAGTATATTTTATTATATTTTTATTTTATTGTTATTTTATTTTATTTTAGTATTTAGTTTATATTTTTGATATTTCATTATTATCTTATTTTATTTTATTATTATATTTTTGTTATTTTATTGTTATTTTATTTTATTTTAGTATTTAGTTTATATTTTTGATACTTTATTATTATTTTATTTCATTTTATTATTGCACTTTTGTTACTTTATTATTATTTTATGTTATCACATTATTATATTTGTTATACTAGGTTAGGTTAGGTTCCAAAAAGCCTCTAACATTAGGTTAGGTTGAATCTTTAGGTTAGGTTAAGTTCCAAGAAGCTTCTCAGAATGAACATCAAACGCGTAATAAAAATTTTTCGTACAATGCTTTGTCGATTATTAAAATTTATACTGTTAGAATAACATTAAACAACAGTAATGTCAGACTAATGCTAAATAACATTAACGTCGGAATAACGCTAACAAGTAAAACGTAACAAAAGCTCTAGACTTGTTTCGTATTTTTGTAAAAAAAACGTCTGAACGGTCTCGACAAATGAACGCTTCGTTGTTTTATTATTTGTCGCTGAAATATAAATTACATTGCAGACGTCCGAGCGACATGAGCAGAAAATGACAGATACGTAGCTCCAGCTACTACAGGAACGTCGATTATCCGAGCTAATTGGGAGAACAAATCCTTCGTTCGGATAATCGATTCTGGAAGAATCAAATTTCCGATCGTGTCGTAAATTTTAATAGACTGAATAGTTTTCAAACACGAACGTTTATCACGCGAAAGAATATACACGCTCTGATAATCAGCGGACGCCGTAAAAATTTTCATTACTCTCTTCACCTGGTAATGCAATTCAAGATATGCTTTCTCTCGAATTAACGCAAGCACGTGCACGATCTAATTATCATCGTCTGCCATTTTCGAGCTTCTGTACAGATGAAAATTCCTCTTAATACGCAGGTTCTTCTGAAGTTCTAATAACATCTAACTACATTAAATTAGCTACATTAAAGATTCTACTATGTTTAATGTAGCTAATTGTACATTTTCCAACGTTATGTTCTACGACTATAATTATACGTACTTTCGCTTTTCTTTTTTTCTTTCTAATTTTTAAACGTTCGATATAATATTTCATTTATCTTTGAATTTCAGCACCATTCTTTTCCTTTTAATAGTTATTTTCATGGTATCTCTAAAATAGGAATTCTTTGGTATACTGTTCGTGTCGAGTATACTCGTCACGTAGAAAGAAGTTTTGCTATTTATTTTAAAATTTAGGTAAAAAAATTATATATATATATATACATATATTTGTAATTTTAGCACATTTTAGAATATTTCAAGGCAACAGAACAAAACAATAAAATTGAAGATTTCTCAAAGAAACGCCAAAAAAGAAACTTATCATTTCGTTGTAATTTAACACAATCTCACCAGCAAGCGCATTTACTGTTTTTTTTTTTTTTTCGTCGAGTATACTCGCCATCGCCTGGAAATAATTAAGCACACCAGTGGACGTTCTCAAGGTGAAACAAAACGCTTGAGGGGTTAAGCTCTGTCCCCACTGAGGTGCCCAACATCGTGCAACTTTGTGTAGATCAGAGGTGGCGAACTGGCGGCCCGCGTGCCCCTACTTCTTCCATCCCCTCCACCGCGTCGATCTCCCCACTTTAGCTTCGATTTAGCTGACAATTAAAGGAAGATCGGTAAAGCTGCTTGCACGACCTGCTGCGGCGAGAAAGAATGCACAGAATGAAAACTA